AATTTATATTATTATTTATGCTTCGGTTTGTTTCCTCTTGCAAGCCGCGAGCACAGCCGTGCCGCTACATGTACCTTTATAATCACAAACCGTTTTACTCTAATGTTAAGATAAAGATTATATACTCTTTGATGTAAGATACTTCACAAACACAAGCCACTTAAAAATTAAATGCTATTAAAATTAAAAAGGAAGGATATTCCGTTTTGTCATATATTTTAAATGTGTGATAAACTCATAAACACAATTTTAAAAGTTTCTCATAAAGTATTAGGTAATAAGTAGCTTACATACTGTTTATTTTTTAAGTAATGTAATCCAAATATTGATCTAACTGCATTATTTGTTCGTTAACTCAATTGTAACTTATTTATTTGCACGGGTAAAGGTATACACAAAAACTTGAAAATTACCGAAATATGCCACAAGAGAAGGGAGAAGGGCCTGAAGACGTCGATACTATTGGGGTAACAGAGTTTTTCCATTTTTATATTGTTATTTTAAATCTATATTAAAACATAAACGGTGTGTCTGTGTATCCCAGTCGGAAAAATATTATTTTTTAATTGGAGAATTTATTTTATATGTTCAAGCCAAGAAATTTTATAATTACCTATCCCAGCAAAAGGATAAATGAATACAAGCGAGACTATTTATAAAATAACTATTATTTAAGAAGTCGCTCGACGACTGACATCAGGGTTGTGCTAGTCATTGATTTATATATTACTTTGGTGCTAGTGAAATATTTTTGGTGCCTGGAAAAATAACCAGATGCTTTAGGTAATTTTTATGATCTTTCCAATGTCTTGGATTGCGTTCATCACGAGTTTAGAGTGTTTATAAGAAAGCTATAGTCAACCAAATCTAAGAAATACATTTTGACAGCTGTCAGACTTATTGCACCAGGCATGCCAACCAAAAAATTGGAACGTACAATATTCGATTCTTAAAAAAAAATCGATATCTATTATTTAGAATCATTTACAGTTTGGTTTGAATAATACCAAAATAAATTTAAAACAGGTAATTTAAAACCCAAGATTTATCAGTTTCTACGTATTTGTTGTTACTGCTTATTTCTAGAGGCACAGTTATAAAAATTTAAGATTAACCGAAAATTAGAAATTATTATTAGAAAAATTTATTCAATCACTTTCAGTACAACTAATTTAGCTGTCTTTGTTTAGATTAATTATTATTTGATTTTCAATAAATTAATTATTTCTTATATTTACGCGAACACTACACATTGATTAAAACTACTTTTACGGATTTTATCGCGTTTAATAATAATTTTAATTATTTTTATTTTTAATTGCCGACGTTTCGGGTGCTTTCCAGCACCCATGGTCACGGGGGACTGATGTGACTGACGTCCCGATGTCTTTGTTAAGCCCGGAGTAGATACCTTCAGCTTTTTTTAAATTATTGTTTATGGTCCGATCTATGCAAAATGAACTATATCCTGAGGTCTTGCAGTGGTATGCTTGGGTTTAGTTTTAATTTTATCGATTATAGGGTCCCAAGCAGGTGGTAGTACCTAGCCTCCTTTTCTACTAAAATTAGGACGTTTTTTTAATTTTAATAGCCTCACGTATCATCCTTGGTAGGAACTGGTGTTCCCGTTCGTTCAACGCTCCGGGAAGTCTGCAGTTTGTGATCATATCCTAGACGGCCCGAACCATTACATCAGATTTGATAGACCACAAATCCTCGCGAAAGAACACCGGTTCCTACCAAGGATGATACGTGAGGCTGTTGAAATTAAAAAAACATCCCAAAATATATATATATATATATATATATATATATATATATATATATATATATATATATATATATATATATATTGTAGTGAACAAAAAATAAAGATATTAATACTTTAAATACTAGAATTAGGAACCAACCTTGAAAATCATTTATGGGGCAATGTAATATACGCTTTTACATCAAAATGTAATATATTATGCCAATGTATGTTAAGTATCCCATAAAAATCCCGTGAAGACACTGGAATTTTATTTATAAAGATTTATTATAAGTAACTTCCAATGTTATTGACGATTAATGACTATGCAAATTAATTTAGAGCCTGTATGAAACTAATAGCAAATGTACTAAGGATAAATAGCAACGTATTTACATAAAAATAAGGCGTAAATCTTGTATTTTCCGTGAATATTTTTATTTTATACATTATTATTATTACAGTGGATTCAAAATAATAAGAATTATTCTCACACATGTTTTAGAATTTGTCTATTACATTAAAAATGTTATTATATAGTAATTAATCTATATAAGCGGTAGATAGAGGATCCTTAGAAGTTAAGTAATGTTACAGGATATATGAACATACCACTGACGGGCACATCAGGCCCCATCTCATTTTTGAGAGGATGGAGCAGATAGTCTACGTCACGTTTTTAGCAGAAAATATTTGCGGACTACACGTTTCCTCGAAATATACAGGAAGGTTTAATCACGATGTTTTCAACGATGTGTTGAATCAGCACTTGACAATTTTAGTACCTAGTGTTTACAGGGATCGAATTTAGTTTACAAACTGAGACTTACGGGGAACGCTGAACACAAACCACCTCGATTGATCGGTCGTTATTATGACTGATATTTTCTTTGACAGCACAATAATTTCTAGATCGGGTGGAAAGCTTGAAAAGTTTAAGTATCTCACAGCTTTGGCCTTTGGCGCTGCATTCTTCCACAATGATAAGATTGTGATGGTTATTCAGCCATCAGTCTAGGAGATTGAGTTTAACTTTTCTTAAAATACCTTTATAAAACTCATGGAATAAAATGGAACGATGTCTACACGAGCATATATTATAACATGTCTTATTTATATTATGTAATTGTTGTTACCCAGATTTATGTGGGAGGAAGAAATGTTGAAGGCGAAAGACATGGTGAGGGTTGGGCAGTCCTTCCCAATGGTGACTTTTACCAAGGTTGCTATTGTCGTGGAATGAGAAATGGAAAGGGGCTGTACGTGTTTAAAAATGGAGCTCGATACGAAGGTCTAGCAAACCAATATCATTTTTGTGTGTTCCCCAAAATTAGTAATTGCAGATTTTTATGATTTAGATTAACATTTTATTTACACATACAGCATCTGGCAAGTTTTGTTTGTTTAAGATTATGAACTTTACGTTACAGTCTAATCGTATATATGCGTCCTACTGCTGGGCACAGACCTCCAGTTTCTGAGAGGGTTTTAGGCCAAGGAATAATTGTCCGTCACGATGCCCCAGTGCCTGTTGGCGAACTTCCCATGTATTAGAAATATTTTTTTCTTATTTCTCGGGCATGCAGGTTTTCTCACGATGTTTTCCTTCACCGCTGAGCACGTGGCAAGATTATGCACTTGAACAGAATAAAACAGAATAAGTCTTGTTCAATGTAAACATGAAATACTTATTTGTAGAAAGTCATTTAATATGGGTTTTGAATTGGTTCGGAAAAGACCTTTGTTCTGGAAAAACCAGCAAGAAATCCAGCATGATTTTTAAATTACTGATTACAATGTATGTTGTAGACTTAACATAAAAACATGCAAGGTATATCCTTATCACAATTTTTATATTACAAAGGTTTTAGGACCTCGTATACTAACTTACTTTGTAGTAAAGGCGTATACCGACTTGCATTATACAACTATGTGAACGCTTGGTGCTTGCCATTAGCGTAAGATAATCCTTCTATTATTCGTTAATTTTATTGTTTGATTCATTCACTAAATACAGCTCACAAAACCACTCTGCCATGTTCAGCAGCCTCCCTAGTATAGTCACAAAGCACCATTTGCAGTTTTTTATTGAATAAGGGTGACAAACGAGTACACAGTTCTACTGATGATAAGTGGATGCTTCGGCCCATAGACATCTACATTTATCCTCGATTAAGAATCAAATTGCAGATGCGTGGTCACCCCTGTGGACTAAGATGGGATCCTCGTTACCAGTAAAAAAGCGTCTCCGGATCTCTACACTCACCATACGAAACACAGCAGTACGAGTACAGCTCGTACTAAGCTTTTATTTTACGCTGGTGTTCTATGAGAGCGTGGTCCTTCACCGGTCAAACCGACCTATTCGTGCTACTCTACCATGCATAATATTATAAAGTCAAGGGATATGTTATAAAGATAATGGTGCTTGATGATTTTCAAACCAAAATAATTTTTTTATAAATGTCGGATCTAAAATAACAAGACAATCTATACACTAGTCACCTGTCTACATTGCCATACACGCAGGATTAATTACGAAATAATTTGCAAAAATTTTGCATTTACGCAAAAACAAAAATAGTTCTATTAAAAATAGTGACGTAAGATTATACAGAACAGGCATAAGCTAGTTATATCAGTTATTCGACTCCAAAGAGTAAGTAATTCCTTTTTTGAGGCAATCTCAAAAAAATTCCAGAAAATTTGCAAGACCTATCAATCAAAACTGTAAAAAATTTTCATTAAGAAAAAATTGTTTAATAACGTTATACTACTAAAGAGTAGGTACATGTTAGATAATGACCCCAGGGAATGAATTGATCGCTACCATGCTGTTTCTAAATTATTTTAATGTGTTGTAAATTAATGTTTAAGAAAAAGTCCCACGTGGTTTCTAGCTGGTTCTTCCCAGGAGAGTTTTTTTACGAACCAGTTGTAAAGCTTAAATTACTTTCAATAAGTAATCTTCTAATCGGAATTGTATAAAAATGATTTTATTCTATTCTATTGCGCTTATGGCTCTGTGTCCGTTCTGAAATAGAATTTTTGTTTTGACCTCGTTTCAGTGTCTTAGTGCCTTGTGTATGTCAAAGTGAATATTTTTTTCTTTCTTTCTTTCTATTCTAATATTTCCAAATATATGTCAAATGACGAGTTCGTCACAATTTTTTTAAATATTGTTGACAAATGTGTGAATATTTTTTATTAAAATATTTTAGGTGAATGGCGTCGAGCCATAAAATACGGCATGGGTCAGATGACGTACCCTGATGGTTCCCGGTACGAAGGCGATTGGAAGCACGACTTGAAACAAGGATTTGGCGCTTACTACTACCCCAACGGTGACATTTATGAAGGTGCTTGGTTTAAAGGGAAACGACATGGTCTAGGAACATATTACTTTGCCGAATATGAAGTTAAATTCATGGGAACGTGGGTTGAAGGTGTAATTGAAGGACCAGGACAAATTATTTATCCACGAGTTCGTTTTCACGGCTCGTGGTTTAAAGGTTTACCTAAAGGGCCTGGATGCTTTGTATTTGACACAAATTGCATGCAACATGGCTTTTACGTGTTGATTAAAGATCCGGACCTCGAGGAATACGGTGAAGGAGAAGAAGAGAATGGCGAGAAAGAACAAAAGAACAATGCATTAGAAGGGGAAGAGGAAACTGAGATAAATGAAACATTGGGTAACAACTTACTTTTTAAACCGATGATTTTATTTCGTTTTCAAAATCGTACAGGTATAAACTATTCCAACCTTTTATAAATATACCTACATAAATTCTTCTATCCATACTTCAAACTTCGAATATTTTAGGCATATTTCAACTCATAACATCACAAGCGTTTCAACAATGTACAATGTTGGCCAGTGGGCAAATGTGATAGACATGCGTTACTTATAGCAACATTTGCGCAACTCATCGCGCAAAGCTGGCTTGTTGGTCAGCAAAAAGTCGATATCCTCGCAATGGAGTGCTGCTTTCGATCAGCAGTCCGTAAAATTTGGGACAGCGAATTTTAAACTTCACCCCTCCCCCCATACTAAGATATTCCTCTGTATCGTAGAGGCGTTTTACACACATTAATAGAACACAAACATCCAGGCTCGGAACAATTGGTTGTAGACCATACAATCACTTGTTCCATGCGTGATGTTAGCCCATAACGCTCAGCGCCTCTACTCACTCTGTATTAAAGTTCGAGCTACAGGCTACAACTTCCCCCTTACAACAACACACAAAGTCACTTATTACGTATTAACAATATTATTAATGTTGACATAAACAGGACTGCCCCGTCGGTCTATTGGTTGTAGCAGTGCGATTGCTGGTCATGAGGTCCTGGGTTCGAATCCCGGGTCTGGCTAAAAAATCAATTATTGAGTTTTTCCGTCAAGAAATTCACAGTAGCTGCCCGAAGTCAGAAAGTTGGCGGTGTCTCACCCCCGTGCCTCGGAAAGCACGTAAAGCCGTTGGTCCTGCGCCTGATCTCTCTCCGGTCGTGTCGGTTTACCGTCCCATCGGATTATGAGGGTGAGGGAATAGAGAGTGCACCTGTGCTTGCGCATACACTTGGGCACTATAATCCTGTCCTGCGCCGATGACTAGTCATCGTTGAGGCTGGCCGCCGTGACCAAAATTCGGTCTGGAGGACATCATTATTAACATATAACATCTTATATATTTCCAGGTAAAAAAGCCGTATGGCGGGCCCGAAATGTTACAGCTTACATGGCAGAATTCCTTCCACCTGAGCCCGTTCCATTGCCCATTCATGACTCAATCCCTTCGCTCACACTTATTACGTATTAACAATATTATTAATGTTGACATAAACAGGACTGCCCCGTTGGTCTATTGGTTGTAGCAGTGCGATTGCTAGAGGTCCTGGGTTCGAATCCCGGGTCGGGCTAAAAAATCAATTATTGAGTTTTTCCGTCAAGAAATTCACAGTAGCTGCCCGAAGTCAGAAAGTTGGCGGTGTTTCACCCCCGTGCCTCGGAAAGCACGTAAAGCCGTTGGTCCTGCGCCTGATCTCTCTCCTGACGTGTCGGTTTACCGTCCCATCGGATTATGAGGGTAAGGGAGTAGAGAGTGCACCTGTGCTTGCGCATACACTTGGGCACTATAATCCTGTCCTGCGCTGATTGATGGCTAGTCATCGTTGAGGCTGGCCGCCGTGACCGAAATTCGGTCTGGAGGACATCATTATTAACATATAACATCTTATATATTTCCAGGTAAAAAAGCCGTATGGCGGGCCCGAAATGTTACAGCTTATATGGCAGAATTCCTTCCACCTGAGCCCGTTCCATTGCCCATTCATGACTCAATCCCTTCGCTCACACTAGAAAGCGTCGATACCGAACTACTACAATTTGAGCCGCCATCTGCTGCTTCTGAATACGAGGGAGGAGATGACAATGATTCGTGGTTGCTTCATCGGCAGAAGTTCCTTGAAGAAACTGATCTCAGAGAGTGATCATATAATTGTTGTAAAGAACTAAATAACTTTCACCACATACTTTACTGAAAAACCTGTCATGTTTTGTACTATGAACAAAAATATATAAATATTAATATACAAATAAGATCTTAATTAATTTCTGTACTTACTTCCTTTCATATCTTTAAAAGTTAAAGTTACAGCCTATATACGTCCCACTGGTGGGCACAGGCCTCCTCTCATTTCAGAGAGGGTTTTAGGGCAAAGAAATGTCCGCCGAGCATCACCGGCGATGAACATCACATGTCTTCGAAATATTTTTGTTCTTATTTCTCAGAAATGTAGATTTCCTCTCGGTGTTTTCCCTCACCGGCGAGCACGTGGTAAATCAGCACTTAAAATTGCAATTAACAATTTCATTGGTGCCGGCGGGGATCGAACCCGGGTTGCTCGCGTACTGTGAAATTTAGAACGAGCGTTACCAGATTTCGCTAGTTGACAGTGAGATGAAGATTTTTGTCACACAATGTCATTTAATTGAGAAGATATTTTTAAATAAAAGTTTATCAACTTCTAGAGTATTTGATTAATGCACAAAACAATGCTTCAGTGGTTTGCTCTTCAATTTTTTGCACATTTTTAACTCCTTTTTTAAAGTATACGTGTTAGAGCCATGCTGCAGTTATATTAGACGTATAGTTGTAGCACGAATACCCATTCGTGCTACAACTATTCGTGGCTCGACCGGGGAGGGACCACGCTCTCACAGAATACTAGCGTGAAATAGTAGCTTAATGCTGCTGTATTTCGTATGGTGAGTGTAGAGAACCGGAGATACTTTTTACTGGAAACGAGGCATTCCATCTTAGTCCTCACGTGTGACAACGCATCTTCATTTTGATTCGTAATCGAGGATAGATGTAGATGTCTAGGGGCCACAGCAATCACTTACCATCAGGTGGACTGTGTTCATGTGCGCTCGTTTGTCACCCTACCCTATAAAAAAAAAATTTTATAAATGTAATTTTATGAATATCTGTGGTTTGCTTTATTTATTTTCAACCTAATAATTAATATAAAGCTAACTTGCCAGACAGACGTTGCTCTGCCCTTTTCGACGACCCTGTCATATCCTATTAAAAATCCTTAAATTCGCAAAAAAAAATTGTTGGTCACTCATGGGTAAAAAACTATCCTATCTCTCAAGTTGGACCAAACTGCAAGCGGTGTAGATTTCATTAAAATCGGTTAAGTAGCCTAAACTACTTCCATCCATAGAGTCCATCGCGGACAAACAACGTGTCATGTAACTTATAATATATATATATATATATATAATATATATATATATATATATATATATACTTGCTTGCCAGGCAGAGGTCGTTCTGCCCTTTTCGACGACCCTTTGTCATGTCCTATCAAAATTCCTTAAATTCCCAAAAAAAATTGGTGTCACTCATGGGCAAAAAAAAAACTATCCTATCTCTCAAGTTGGACCGAACTGCACACGGTGTGAAAGTTTTATTAAAATCGGTTGAGTAGTTTAGGAGTGCATCACGGACAAACAACGTGACACGTAATTTATATATATTAAGATAACTAATAGTACAGAAAGAAACTTTAACCTTTATATTTTTCAAACAAATTAACTTCTCCGCTATGAAATCTGTCAAATATTAAACCTCATTTATAGGTGGCGCCGCCCTGGTGATAGAAAAAGTCATGGATGCCCTCATTATTTCAGTATTTTTAGTTCTCTGGGGTTTTACTTCTTATTCAGTTTAATATTTTTAAATCATATAAAAGTAAACTAAAAATGATTTTAACTATCAGTCTTGGTCAAACTGGTTTTAACTGACATTTTCTGTCGAAACCTATATCAACCAATATTCTCCAAAATACTTGCTTTTTTTTCTTGGTTTAAAGTACTTTTGACCGGAAGTGTTTTGACTGTAAAATAGTTCACAATTTCAAGATTTACCTACTTATGTATCCCACCCACATCTTAGGATATGGTAAAATCTAAATTGTAATATAATGATTACTCATTAGGGTTGTCATTTGGTCAGCCTTAAAATTTTCATTTTGATTTTGCACAGTTGTTTCAATTGTAGTAAATTAACATTGATTCTTATATAGTAAGATTTAATTCAATCATGTTTGGAAAAGTTCTGAGCCAGTATATAAAAATCATTTTGCAATAAGTCTTGAGTTGTTGAACAAAAGGTTCAATTTTATTTATTGAAACATAGCTTCTTCCTGTTTTTTATTGAATACCAGCTACCCTCCCCCCCAACTTTGCCTGAATAGGATCAATCAATGTGGCGTCATTTAGATTATCTATTTTCGTTTTGTGTTTTAATATGCAAATTTTTCAGATAAATTATTGCCTAAATTCCTTCTGGCCTTGCTTTCTATCTGTACGTGAAGTTTCATTACAATTCTTTCACCCATTCCAAAGATTATGTGTCTTAATGACACCTAAATATCAGCTCCATCAGCTCAATTTAGTGCAGTTTGTTCTACATTACAGACAGAAACTTCAATTTTACTTGTAGCAACTTTTTCACTGTCTACGGTTTTGTGTTTATACATTATCTTATATAAATGCTCAGTGAATCTACATGTACCCTGTAGGCTGTTTTAGAAGGGTATGGCTGGAGCTATGGTAAATGGCTGTTGATCCCAATAGACAACACCATAGAATACTATAATACAGAATAGAATGGCTGTCAAACTTATTTTATACGACAATAGGCGTCGCCGGGAGCACTCCGTTTTTTCATTGATTGGATGATGGGAGGATTTTAATTCATATTTATTTGTAAATAGCGTGCGATTTGGCATTTTCTAAATAATTTGCATGAGAAACTTGGAAATGATTGTAACGTCAAAACACATCTCGTGTTGACATTTATACGTGTGAATTGACGTGTTAGTAACATTTTTGTGGCTACACGGGCTCCGTCCACTCCCCCATTCTATTATGTATGTATTATAGTATTCTATGAGACAACACTATCAAACTTTGATTAAAAATCAAAAAGCAAGTGCAACATCACCCCTGAAGCTATATTACATACACACTAGGTATATGTTTCAGCTTTATATATAGTAGAGTCACACTGCAACTATATTATTGTAGTAACAAAAAAAAGTAACACAAATGGGTCGGCTCGACTGGGGTAGGACTACGCTCCCACAGAACACCAGTGTCAAAAAACAGCCTAATGATGCTGTATTTTGTATGGTGAGTGTAGAAAAACGCAGAACTTATTCATAGAAACAAGGCATTCCATCTCAGTCCTCACGGGTGACAAAGCATCAGCATTTTGATTTTTAATCGAGTATAAATGTAGATGTCTATGGGCTCCACTTACTATCATGTGGACTGTGTCAGTAGCATCCACTTACCATTGTGTTTATACATTATCCTATGTGCAAGCTTGTTACCCTTATTAAAAAAAATAGTTTTATGTACAGCTGCAGCGTGGCTCTAACAGCTGCTGGTAGAGCCTTGCTCCAGTAGTAGAAGAATTTTTTAATTCTTGTCTAGGGGTAGACTAAAAAGGCTAATACTAAAAAAACGGTAAAAAATGACTTTCTTCAGATTTGGGGATTCTATCCGAATATACACAGTATATTTTTGTCATAAGAGAATATTAATTTAATTGAAATGAATAGCAAGTTCTTAAGTATTTAATTCAGATAATAAAGTAAATTAAAATTGTCACACCTCTCTTTAGCTGAATGTGTATCTCTGTGCGATTTTCACATGTATGTTGAAAAAACAATATTAATTATAATGTTTTAAAATAAAGTTATTTAAGTCGTTAACTTAGAAAAGTCTTTAATTTCATTAAACCTTCAATCCTCTTAAAATTCCCATGCAGTCGCATGCGTCCGTCACATCTCAAGCAGTTGCATGCGACCGCACCCACCCACAGCATGTTAAACCATTAAAACTTATATTTATAGACTACTTTTCTATAAAGAAGTTTGGCATTATAGAATCTGTACGAAATTCTCTATTCTATAGTTTAAACAAAAGTCAGTTATTCAATGGATTAATCATTACAAAAATACTTTATTGTATTTTGATAACTACATACCAAGCGGATGTCGGTAGCGTGAAAATTACTATTATTTCTATGTATTACTAGAAACTACTCCTTTTTATTTATGTAAAAAAATAAATTATATTCACACAAACATTCATAAAAATTTGATGATATAAAAAACTGTTCTTATCTTAGAAAAATCAAAGAAATGTAGATTATAAATGAATGTCTATAGACTAACTGAATTTTTATTCAACTATAGGAAATTTCATATTGATTCTGTAATACCAAACTTCTTCATGGAAAAGTAGTCTTTAAACATAAGTTTTTATGGGTTATAGTGCCGTGGGTGCGGTCTCTGTAGACTAGGAATATGGCCGTGGTCTCATGAGACCGCTAGATGATTGAGCGGTTAAATTATTTTTATTGAACCCCATGAAACAATAACATGAATATTTAAACTAAAATTTTATATATATATATATAAAATTATATATATTTAAACTATTTACAGATATTGTACTTTAAGTATTTCTTATATATAATAAGAAAATAAAAATAAACAATACAAAGATAAAAATTGCAATAAACATTGCAAGAAGTTAATTTGACTTCCTATTTTTTCATAGAAGGTATTTATTAAACATGTTACTATCATGGGGATATTACACTATCTTATTCTAAAACATGACTATGTTTGAGAATTTGGTGTTGGATTATTATTAGATCCGGAATTATTATTATCAAATGTATTTTTGTTTTTGACTAAATAGGCTGCTAAATAATTTATGGGATCTGGTGGTCTCTCTTTGGCCAATGCTGACAATCCTTGCAATAATATAGGGACGACGGTTTGGTCCAGGTACTGGCGAGTGGGTAATGCATTCAGATCAATTCTGGATTTTCGATTAGCGTTAGTTTCGTTTTCCTTTTCCATCGATATAATTTTCTGAAAGTTAATGACATAAAACA